AGACAAGATTTGAGTGGATACACAGCCAAACCATATCACTGGTGGAGCACCAGTGCCTTGAGATCAGAGATTTGTATGTCTTTTACTGTAGTCTTTTTCCAACCTGGCCCAGTGGCTGTCAAAGAATAAGGTTGAATTTGTTGTATTGACGGATTAACAGCTCCTCCACAGTCCTGGATGGATTAACAGACCCTGAATGGAGAGGAGGGAGGCAGATAGACATGGTGTCTTTGACATCCCCACTTATGTTACAGCTTCATACCCAATGGCTCTTTTTAGATGAACATGATGTTCCCCATTAAATTGGTGAACTTTAAATAAACAAGAGAGGGCTTTTTTTTTTTTCTCCAGGCTCTCCTTTTGAGATGAAATTGTAAAAAATCTACCACATTTGAAATTCTTGCTCATGTTTTTCTATTTAGTTCAACTTATCTTCCAAATTATAATTTGGGTCATAAACACCAAAATAAGTTGCTTAGTTTTTTTTGGGAAAACAGTATATTAATGTATCTGATTTTTGCATTTTTTTCCACTTCTAAGAAAAAACAGGAGACATTCATGGCAATGTGATATGACAGGAGATTGTCCTGTTGGTAGTGATGGTTTGTTTTTTTCTGGATCACCCACCCATTGTAGAGCATTCAGAGAATTCTGAAAAGTATAAAGAAGGAATTGTAATCCTTAAATTACTTTTTATTGTCAAAATAAGCATTTTTTTCTTAAGCTGGATTTCTCCAAATGCAAACACTGAGATAAGAATTGGCATGCAAGTTATTTATTTTGGAAGTAATCCCAAGATCACCTGTAGGAGAGTGGGGAAGTAAGAGGAGGAAGGAAGGTATTCAACAGAAAGTGTGTTAAGCAGCGGGTCACCATCATAAGCAACGGGCTTAATCCTGCTGGGGATGTCTGTGAGACTATATAATACAGATCTGAGTTGTCCCACTGGAGATAAAAGTAAATTAATGTATTCATATGGCACTTCCAGCCCATGATTGGTTGAGGGCTGCTGCTAACGATGTTAACTTGCTGGGCACCCACTCGTGTCTTCTGGTGCTGCTCCAAGCACAGACTGAGGAAGTTTCCATGGCCAAAGAAAGTCCTTAGGCTGAGATTCAGGGCAAGGTACATTAAAAAGAGATCATGCACCAGAATAGTCTGTGGCACAGAGGCACAGGAGGGCAAGGACAGCACCTGCCACACAATCATTAGAGACTGGCTGGCATAGACCCAATCTAGCACCAAATTCCACCCTCCCCTACAAACAGGCAGTGCTTAACAGATACAGCAGTAACAGAAACACTAGTTTAGGAAAATCAAATTCAAGACTGAACATATGAACATAAATCACCTTTAGGGGTCATGGTAGTGACCCAAGGCTCCAAACATGCTTGCACCAGTTGACTTGGTCCCTTGTGTTCCTATCATTCACCAGGAGGAGAACATACACCCAGGTAGTTGCTGGTCCAAGGAGAGTGTGAAGTGGGGCAAACCTGAATCCAACCCAAATGCAGAAGGCTAGCCCAGCTAAATGCCGGCTAGAGTAGAGCCACCTTACTCTGCAGATCTGTGAGCAAGAAAAATAAATGCTTATCATTGTCAGTCACTACTTTTCAGGATTATTTGTTATGCAGCATTATTGCAACAATAGCTGACTGACATAATACTCCAGGGAACAGATTTAATAGATCAATGAGAACAATAGTTTAAATTTTCAATTGCAATCCTCACAGACATAGAGTGGATATTATAGACCTTTTTAAAAAGGAAGAGAGAATCAATGAGACAGCTTATGAATGTTGTCACTAAAATTAAAATCTCAGAAATGTGGACTAAGTGGTATCACGGATACAGACAAAGAAGAATAAATTCATCAGTTACTAGACAGAGTCTAAAACTTGACCTGATGTTTAGCACAAAGAAAGAAAAAGATAATTATAAATCTTGGTAAATGATGAATAGATCCAAGAAAGGAGGAAAGCAAATGTGGGAAGTAGTGATGGGAAAAAATATCCAAGAAATAAGAGCTCATCAAATATTTAAGAAGGAATGAAAGAAAAAGGGCCATCATTGAGATACAGTGTGGCAAATTTTTATTAGAATGAGAATTTGAGAGAGAGAGAAAAGGATGCCTATGAGGGGAAAAAAACTGAATTAACACTAATGCTCAAGTGTCATACTTAATGGTGAAACAAGTAAATTATTCCTTCTATAGTTTGTCAATTTTAATTTTCAATTTCAAATATGTCATATGTAACTTTTCAAGCTAAATTGATATAGATCTATACAAAGAGTGTGAAGGGTTGCATACTATTTCATTCCATACCTGATATGTTCTAATGTATTTCATCAGTCCCTCTTTTGTAGGGGATTGATGTCTAATTTATAATTGAAAAATGTGCATGATAGTTGAAAATTCCTCTACCCTCTCTAAATCTGATTGGATATTACCAATATCTTTAATCTTGACTAAATTAATGATGAAAAAATACATATTCTGGACTCATTAAAATATTCTTTTACAAGTACTACTCTGCAATCTACATGCTGTGGAAATTTAAAAATTCAAATGGAAAAATAAAAGTACTCCTCAACTCAGGGGGCTAAGGAGGAAGGATCGCTTGAGTCTGGGAGGCAGAGGTTGAAGTGAGCCAAGTTCATGGCACTACACTCCAGCCTGGGCAAAAAACTTCTCTCAAAACAAGCAAACAAAAAAAGTGCTACTAAAGCTAAAGATCCTCTTATATCTTTTCATTCAATACGAATGACTGATGAATATGGGCACCAGGTCTTTCCTGTGCACTCAGAATACATCACTGAACTAAATGCAATTCACTGCCCTCCTGAACCCCACGTCTTTCTTCTTTTACCAGCTAGCTATCTGTTAATCGACTCAGCTGGTCTTCTTGCTCCTTTTGATTTTTACAAACCATTTATGCATTAGAGTAGTAATCCTTTGTCATGTGTGTAACAAAAATTTTTAGCATGCTGTTTATGTTTTAGCTCTTTAGAGTTCTGTGGAATCTCAGGGAAGTTTTGACTTTACGTAAACACATTTTTTGTGTTTCCCTGTTTTTCTATTTATCCCAGGATTGAAGAAATAGTCACCTACATTTTCTTCTAATATTTTTATAATTATTGAGCTTTTAACTGAAAATGTTAACTTACCAAGTCATATGTAAAACAGATTTATTCTCTGCCTGGGCATGACTTAAGAATCATATATACCATGTATAATCTAGAGTGCATTGTTTGGTAATGAAAGAGTACTTTCACATATTAAAGGTTATGCTTTTACTCCTGCATCAGATTCTCCTATGTTAAAACATGGTGATGTCATCAGAATGGTATCAAATCACCCAAGTCAAAATGTTCCTCTTGGAAGCAGTTGATGCCTTTAGAATAAGGTCCAAAATCCTTAATACGGCTTATACAGCCTTTCACCACAGGCCTCCCTAGCCTCTCCCCAGTGCAGCTCACCCTCCTCTTCCTGGCCTCTGCACCTACTTCAATCGCAGCTCCCTGCACGTGTCATGCCCTCTCCTCTGGAGCCCTCCTGCCTGACCTGTTTGCTTCTCACTTAGCTAACTCCTATTTATCCCTCAGGTGTGAGTTTCCATGTTCCCTGCTCAAGGAAAGGCTGGGAGTCAGTTTATAAATATTTCTTGGGCCACCTACTAAATGCCAGACCAATGATCATCCTCTGTCCCTAGCCAAGGCTGAAGAGGTATTAATCCTATGCACGGCATATCAGCCATCACAACAACTTACAACAGCTTCGTGGCTTGATGGTAACAAATTGCTAGGTAGCAAACATCTTGAGGGCGAGGACCTTGTCTTTTTCACTAGTGTTGCAGCAGCTGACGTAGAAATCAAAGTGAATACGGACGAAACAGTAAACCAATGAGAACCAGGAGGAAAGTATGAGACAATTTCATTTCCTGGAAAGTGAATAGGGCAAGAGAAAATATGCCTGTTGTTCAAATACCTGTGCCATGGGTGGCTCTGAAAGAACACTGACTTTGAAGTCAGGAGAACTTGTTTCAACTTGTGGTGGCATCCAGTCCCAACCCTATGACCCTTGGATGAGTAAACTTTTTCAGCTCCGGTTTCCTCATCTATTAGTCAGCATAATGCCTATGCTACCCAAATTACATTTCTTGAGCTCTTATGATGTGCCACACATTGCAATTATTTCATTAATTTTATTACCTTGTTTAATCTTCATGCTGTATGGTGGAGATATTATTACTGTCCTCACCAGTAAGTTGGAGATTCTAAGGACACTGAGTCCACATGAGGAAATTAGAGAGGGTTACCTGGTGTAGTAAGAGTACTTAGAGTTTATTTAGTGTTGTTTGAACCTTGGAGAGGTTAAATGAGCTAACCAAGTTCACACAGCTTCAAAATGGTAGAGCTTCACCCAGGACTGCTTGACACCTGAGAAAGAGTACTTAATCACTGCTTAAGGCTCACTCGTGTCAGAACAAGAGAGTTTTTAAGTGGACGGGCTTTGTAAACTGTCAAGCACAAGGTAAATGCCGGTGATGAGGAGCAAGTCATTTGTACAACAAGGAAGGCAGCGGTATCATCTGGACGTATGTTTGCCTTCAGGGAGGGATGAATGCCTGGGATTTCAGATTTGATCCAAGTTCAATGTGTCTGGCCTAAGGTTATTTTTGATTCAAGGCCACCGTGTCCTGGTTTCTATCAACACTGAAATAAACACTGCTTTGCAATCTGCGCCTTTTATTAATGGTGTGACTCACTTAATGAGGGCTTTGCTGTCTCACATCAATCTTCTTTGTAGAAGAGGCCCATCAAGGAATTGCAGACAGTTGCCAGCCTGGATCTACTCTGCGTCAGCATTTGGCAAGTTCAGCCACCCTGCAAACACCTTCTTGTTTCAGAAGAGGGGAAAGAGTGAAACTTCAAGGTTCAAGATCAGCACCATACACACACACACACACACACACACACACACACACACACCCCATCATACATTTAAAAGCCTATTTTATTGGGTTTATCTGGACATTGTTGTTGTTGTTGTTTTAAGTTCCAGGCAGCCAAGCAGCCATGGGTGGATTACTCTTAAAACCTGATCATAAAATATTGTCCAAATGGGCAAAGGCACTAATCAAAACTGTGGAAGGAAAGGTTTGAATTAAGGAAAACGTTCAATGAGACACAAGGGATTTTTCATTGCAACATTTCTCTAATTTTGTATCCCAGGCTGACCCATAAAGGAACAAAATATTCTGCCTTGATGACAACATGCGATTTAGTATAGTCTGTATCACAGAATGGCCACAGCTTGAAGATGACAGCATGGTTTCCCCAGAGCCTGGAGCAGAACTTGTAGTTTTGTCTACACACAATGACCCATTGACCATTTTTTTCTGAGGAATTGCTTTTTTTTGTTATGTGAACAAGCCATGCCCAATCTGCTAGTTCTTAGGTCTGTTTTTTGTCACTGTCCACATAGAGTTCTTGGAAAACAATACAGGCTAACCCCAAGTTTGGTTGTGAATTTCTTCCATAATAACCCACACTTCTTGTTTTACATGCAAGGTTGCTTGCTATGTCCTTCTCTCCTTGCCTTTCCTATGAGTCACCCATTTAGGTTGGGAGCTTCTAGATAACAAGGCCCCTTCCAGGACCAGCATCTTTCCCTTTTCCAACTGTACAGTCCTGCCTGGACTGAAGAAGGAAATGTAAATCAAGGAAAGTTTTCATAAGCATTGCAATAAAGGGAAGGGTACTATTTAAATATGAGATTATACAATAGATATAACATAGAGTAACACATAAGAATCGCCTGGGCGGCCCTCTAACTCACCTTTTCAGGATGGCAATTCTGACCTCATAAGAAACATGTAGGGAGTCCCCTTGTAGATTCTATTGTTTCTAGGTTGGGGGATGCTGGAAGTGCAGGGATGCTGAGAGGTTCAAAGGGATTGCTTCATTTAGAGGACTCTCTTTGGCTGCTATGCAGAGGTGGAACTGCAGGGAATCTGTGTGGTTCTGAGTTGGGGGTTTCCACAAAACAGTCATTCTCCTCCTCCCCACCCCTGTCCCTAGCCATAAGGAGTGGCAGTGCCTGAGAAGAAGACATGTGGAAATCATAACTGGCCTTGCTAGAACACCTGGGCCAGAAGCCAGGTGCCAGCAAAGGCAATGGAGGCAGGATAGAGGATTCTCTCCAAAGGAGGATTCCTTATTGCAACAGGCAGTGGCCACTACAGCAGTTGGCCAGATAGAGAGAAGAACTGCAGAGAAGAATTCATCCTGCCAGAATGCCAGAATGAATTGCTGAAGCATCACCCACCCTATCTCGCTATTTGGCTTCTGAACTGGTAACTAATCACCCAGATTAAGAGCTGAGAGGAAGACTGTGGAAAGGAAGGGGACAAATATAAGACATGGACACTGTTGAGGGAGTCAAAGAAAATGAAAAGAAAGGAAAGGAAGTAGTGCACTCAATAAGTAGAGAAGGAATTAGGGAAAATGGTCAGAAACAGTCAGAATGTGGGTGTGTTGGCTGCCATTACCAGTCTTAACAACACCCACAAGAGAGAGATGACCTCCAGTTTACAATGGGATGGGCTGCAAGTCCTTGGAAGGGAACACAGCTTTTCCAGGAGAAACATTTTCTGCTTGTAGGCTTCAATTTTAGTAGACTGAGAGTTTAGTAACCCTTACAGGGCTAAAAACAAACAAACAAACAAACAAACAAACAAAAGCCAATTTATCCTAAACTCTAAACTGCAGCAGTTTTAAGTAATGACTTGAAGTCCTAGAATTAGCAAGATATAAAACTTTGGCCCCAAATCTCTGCTCAAAAATCTTTCATTAAGGGATCCTTAGCAGATGACATGTTTTGGCCTGGAAGGAATGGGAAGATTACCCAGGATTATCCCCAAAGCCTGTTGTTTTAGACAACTTCAAGGTCACTATTGAGAAGAGGGTTGCATAGAGCACAGAGTTCGGTTTGGAAACTACACGGAAACAAGATCTTTGGTAGTACTTACTTACACATGCAACTGATGGGAAGCAAATAAACAGGAAATCTACTAAATTATTAAGGGAATTGTATCCAAATAAATCACAAGCTTACCCTCAAAAGCCAGTATTCATTCAACCCCTAAGCAACTCCCAGGCCCTCAAAACTGCACCAGCAGGAAGAGAGCGAATAAAGTGCACAACCCCCAAGAAGATCAACCTTTCCAAAGCCCACCACAGATGTGACCACCAAGGACAATGAGCAAGGAACAGAGGCTGAGGCTGCAGGATGGGACCACCAAGCCATCTACCTGCCTGCCAGGTAGGAGGGTCTTTGCTGTGGCTACTTCATGGCACGGCTCATTGCTATAGATCCACTTGGAGGGAAGGACAGAATTAGGATCACACAGTAGCCACTGCTCAGTAACCATTGTGTGTTTCCAATTCTTTTTCACCAAGAATACATTTTTGTTTTGGTCCTCATATTTCTCCTTCACTGATATAGATTAGATATGGAAGGACAGGAAATGTGTGTTTGGGGTTAGACACTGATTGATGAGGAACCATAGCAGACATGGAGAAGATTGCACATCATCCTGTAATCATGGAGTTTGAGTTGAGTGCTCTAACTAGATAGGACTTGGGACTGTCTCCCTGTGGGAGAGGAATATGCCAAATGAATGGAACAAAAATGCACCTGGATATTCAGGTGGTCAGAAGGGCAGAAGGACAGAGACAACTAATTGACCTCAATATCTATTTTCTTCTATCCCAGAAATAAATGTCTAGCTGAACAGATGGCTGGTTAGAGTGAAGAATATGCTTCATGGTCTCCCTCACATTGTGACCATGTAACTAAGTTCTAGTCAATTATATGTAAGCCAGTGTGGTATATGCACCTTCTGGAAGGATTCCTTAATAGGAGGGTCCAACCTCTTCTTTAGACTTTCTTCCTTCATGCTAGATGAAGAAGATGTGATGGATGGTGCTGCAACAGCCATTTTGTTACTTAGGAATGAAAGTGAAAACAAGATGGACATCCTGATGACTGTGAAACTAAACTTCCATAGCAGCTCCAGACTGCCTAATGATTTTTTTATGAAAGAAAAAAAATCAACTAAATTTGTAAAAGTCATTGTTTTTTTTCCCCCTTGGCCCTTACAAACTTAATATAACTATAATACATGTATAACCTAAAAGTACCCAAAGAAATATTGCAATCAACTAGTAGATGGATCACAACAAAGAATCCTCACATAGAAAACTATGATATGAAAGAATTGACAGTAGGTGTGAAAACTATTAAAGTCAAACATAAAGTCTAAATAATTCCCCAGATAAGACTGTAAAAGTAATTAATGAATAAAGTTTCATGATGTAAAGTAATGATTATCATTTAAAAAGTTAAAGGTATATTCAATCTTGCTGATCATTACAATGTTACTGCTGACTTACCATGTGCCAGGCACTGTTGTAAATGCATCCTGCATTATGTCATTTTATTTTCATAATAACCCTATGATATTATTATGCCCACTTTCGAGATGGGGCAGCTGAGGCACAGAGAAGGTAAATCCTTTGATCACTGCCCTATATTATCTGCCAACCAAAACCTAGGAGATGGCAGGGCAAAGTAAGAAGTTAAATAAGAGTACTAATGCCTTCATTTTATATAAAGAGGACTCATGAGTGTTTCACACTTGTTATTGCCAATTAGGTTATCGACGGCAATGAAGCAAAACAGAATGTATCTGTTCTAAGTCACTAGAGGAAAAGGTGTTTATGAAAAGGAATAACAGCCCATACAACAAAAAATTAAAAATAAAGGAAAAATAAGAAAACATTAAAAATAAAGCACAAAACAAGATAAAAGAAATAAAAGAAAAAATAACGCTCATTACATTAAATGTATAGCTGGCCCTCTGTGTCTACAGGTTTCACAACTGGAAGTTCAACCAACCTCATATTTAAAATATTCAGACATAAACAATAAAGAATAATAATACAATAATTAAAAAGATATAAATAAAAATAATAGAGTATAAGAAAAATGTACATAGCATTTACATTATATTAGATATTATAAGTAATGTAGAAATGATTTTAAGGACACAGTAGGATGTGCGTGGGTGATATGCAAATACTATGCCATTTTTTATAAGGGACTTGAGCATGCTTGGATTTTGGCATCCTGGAGGTCCTGGAACCAATCCCCCACTGATATAGAGGATTGACAATAAATGCTTTAACTATTCTATTGAATGGTGAAGTCCTATAAGTTTAGGCAAAATATAAAATACAGCAGTGAAATAAATCTACTGTCAATAAGGACCAGAAACTAACCCACGTATTTAGTATATGCTAAAAAAGATATTTTAAGTCAATTGATACATGATCATATGATTGTATTAGTCTGTTTTCACACTGCTGACAAAGCTATACCTGAAACTGGGCAATTTACAAAAGAAAGAGGTTTACTGGACTTACAGTTCCACATGTCTGGGGAAGTCTCACAATGATGGTGGAAGGCAAGGAGGAGCAAGTCACATCTTACGTGGATGGCAGCTGGCAAAGAGAGAGCTTGTAGTGGGAAACTCCCATTTTTAAAACCATCAGATCTCGTGAGACTCATTCACTATCATGAGAACAGTGCAGGAAAGACCCGCCCCCATAATTCAGTCACCTCCCATTGGATTCCTCCTATGACATGTGGGAATTGTGAGAATTACAATTCAAGATGAGATTTGGGTGGGGACACAGCCAAACCATATCAATGATGTAATTCGCCAAATAGTAGCTTATCTACCATTAACTGCAAGAATTAAGTTCCTACACCAAAATGAAGTCTAAGTGAATCATAGGTAAAAACATTTAAAAAGCAACCTAAAAAAATCATAAAAGTATCTTTAAATAATTTAGAGCAAGTATGGTCTTAAATACATATAAGACTGAAGGTAAAAGCATAAATGAAAAGATATGTGATACAATAGAGCCATTTATGAAAACACACAATAAGCAAATCAAGATAGAAGAAATTGGGGCAAAAATAGCAATATTGAAGGCAGGAAAATAGATTAAACACAAGATATATAACATCCAAAAATCATAAAAGCTAAGCAACAAACTAAAATAAAAAGAGAAAAGAGTTTGAACATACAATTTACAAAATAACCATATTTCATTTTTTAAATTTTTTTACAATTTTTTAATAGAGACAAGATCTCACTATGTTGCCTAGGCTGGTCTCAAACTCCTGGGTTCAAGCAATACACCCACCTAGGCCTCCCTAAGTGCTGGGATTACAGGAGTGAGCCACTGCTCCCAGCTACTAACCATATTTAAAGTATGATACTGCTCAAAATCTAATAGCAATTTTCATTAGTAACCATAAAAAGAAATACATTTTCCAATGTTGACAAATATATGGGAAAAAAATACATCTATATAGCGTTTCTGAGGGTGTTAGTTCAACTTTGGAAAAGTGTTTTGGCAAAACGTATAAATGTATCAAACCTTTAAAAATGCTCACCTGTTTTTACCCAAAAATTTTGCTTCTAATTGTTTGTACTTTTTAAATAATTGGACTAAAAGATTTAAC